GCAAACGTTTCCACATTTTAAACGCAATTCCACAATATTATTTTAAAGACTGGTGCACAAGTCATAACCACAAATCTTTTGCAGACATACGTATACACTTTGCTCATATACGATCTATTGATATTTATTCCAAACATAAATCTTTCTTCCTGCCACCATACAGTTTTCTTCACTAAATTGAAGTAATTTATTTTCAGTTCATTAAATGATTACTTGTATAAGTCAAGAGAGCCATAGAAATATTCCTTAAATTCTTATTATAATTAATATTATTTAAATTATTTAAAGAACTTACCTTACTTTGCAGATGTCGCCTGATGTGATAATGCAGAGTTTTCCTCTGGGGGCTTCCCCGGTTTCTCCGTGGCGTCCCAACAATTACTCCATTCACACCCAGAAGAAGGCAATGGCAAACCACTTCTGGATCATCTGCCAAGAACGTATATGAACAGGTCCCAGTCCGAGAAAAGGATGGAAGGATCCTGTTCATATGGACCTGTCGTCAGACAGAACACTAAATAAAATAAAATAAAATACCCCCAGATATAATTTCTCTTCAACTTTGTACCCGCAAAGTTGTTGGTGTATAATTCAAGTAATGCATAGTATATAATCTACATCTAAAAAAAGTTAAATAAATTACATTACTGGTTATAATACTTTTTTTTAAATTTCACGTACCCCCTAAGATGTCTTCGCGTACCCCAGGTTGAATACCACTGATATAAAGGACATAACTTAACATGCAAGTATTTTCTTTGGATTAAGCATGAAGTGATAAAGTATAAATTTATATTTCATTTCTTTCCCAACGAAGAGCATTAGTGAGACAGTAAACAAGAAAATGTAACGCAAAGCACGTAAGCAAATGATGTAACTCAAAAGGCAGAAATCCACTGTAGATTAGATACAGAACACTAATATGTAAATGTTATAATACAGTGATATTTGGAACACAGAAAGTAACATGGCAAATGCATGTGATGCCAATGGCTTCCCAGTGCAACAAAGGAGCCCCGACGATGGGCCATAAGACCTAAACAAAATGAACACTTAATAATGATTTGTGTGTTGCTAAAAACAACTGTTGTATCTCACAAACGATGTGATCTGCAATTTATTCTAAATAGTTTCTAACTACTACTGCGCTGGTTTCAACGTTGGAGATTTTTTAACGCCAAAAGACATTGCCGCAGACGCTGGCAGCAACAGTCTCGATTCTGAACGGGATTACAAGGCGGCAAAGTTGCATAGACGCTTATGAATATGAATAGCCACCCCCCACCACAACGCTGAAATATACAGGCATTGCGCAATGTACAATCTAGCGGCAGGTGCACCAAACTGAGAATCAAGTCCGACCGACAAAATCCCCAACTAAACTAGAGGAAACAGAAAATGTTTTATGACATAATTTGATCCACAAAGTAAATTAATACAATATCTCACTGTAGCTTCTGGCACAAAGAAGCTACTGTAACAAAACATTTCTGTTTCAAGGTAATGAATCACCTAATCTTTGTTACTGCTAAGAAGACTGGAGCAATTCTGGACCACAAAACAACTTTATTAATGCTCTTTCAGCTCAACCCACACTAAGGCATGTCTAAGTTAATCGCAGTTCCCTGTGAGTTTCTTATTATAAATGATAAACTAATTATTCCAAGATCCCTATCCATAAATACCTGAATGTTCACCGTCGTCATAATTCCGTCAGAAAATAGGTCGTGTGACCTATTACGAGTTGATTCCATCTCTTCTGTGGTCTACCCAAACTTCTCTTTCACATAGGATTGTGTTGCGTCCTATGATCGTGAGTAAATGAGCGAACTATTTCGATATTAATCCTGCAGCCTTCAAAATACGTGAACAGGTAAAATAGATCTGCCGATCTGATATCTTTAGACAGTATGATATGTCGTATACTAAGCCACGGGTAGAAACCAATCCTGAAACACTGCAGTACTTTCAGACATAATTGATCAAACTCTACAATAAAATACTGAACAGTATTCCAATAGTTTGAAACATATTTACGTGGATATAACATTCTTCTTTCACACAAAAAAATACAAATTCAATTGCTAAATTCTAATATTTACATGTTATGATCTACAGTTGTATTAATAACGCTAATTCTGATGAATTTTTATACAATAATTATATTCTGTTTACTAATAAATGCACTCCATTCGGCATTAAGAGATACTAAATCATACAAAGGTTTCGGTACACCATCTTCACATTACAGAAGATAAAAATACGTGATGAATCGAATACAGAACAGTATAATGAAAATTGCAGTTATAATTACAGTACGATATTAATATGTGTCAAACACGTAGGACGTACTAAGTACAATATTCAGTTAAGAATCTCTCAGAGAAGAAACAGACTTTTCGACAAAGTGCCTTCCTCAAGATTTTAAAACGCAACCAACCCCTCCGAAGGTTGCGTTTTAAACACTTTACCAACCACAACCCCCAGAAAGGGGTTGGTCAAGTGTTTTAACCCCCATTCGTGGGGGTAGTTCAGTGTCTTACCCAAGACCTCAATTCGGGGGGGTTGGTTTAGTTTCTTACGTAAGATTTTAAAACGCAATCAAGGGAGGATTGGTCAAGTGTTTTAACCCTCCATTCGGGGAGGTTGGTTTAGTTTCTTGCGTTTTAAAAACTTGACCAACCCCCCGAGGAGCTCCGAAAGGAATGCTCTGCTCTAGTGAATAATAATCTGTGATATTCTTGCTTGAATTTGCTGTGAGAGCGGAGTAGCCGATTGTCGTTATCGTAAACAGGTTATTGACCTGTAGATTGCTATTTAGTTTTTTGTGTTACCAACTGCATTAAAATTACACTAAACGCAATATATAAATGTGTACTTCTTGTAACACGATGATATGCCACCACAACATAAGATCGGCTATAATTATTGACAATTATTTTATACACTTTATCAAACATTATTTTACAGCCAACACCAGACAAAATATTGATTCTAACTGTGCATATAAAACGCAAAGTAGACAAACAGGTGACGGGGTTATAATGTATTGTTATATAATGTAACATATCAGTCGTTAAATAGCTTTGTTAATTTATTTTATTTGACATTTATAATATAAAGTGAAAGACCTATTTTAGAATTAATGTGACGTACATGTTGGTGAAACAAACCTTTGGCTATTTAGATACGTCTCGTGCACCACACATGAATGTATATTTTGATAAATAGCAGTAGCAACATTCATTTCCTCTAACGCGATAATCGATAATATTTCGTGAGGGTTATGATTTTGACGACGAAAATTTCTTATCCCGCACACAATGAACGTTGTGTTCTCATTTCATTGATAATAACTTCACCAACATAAGACTTTCTCATGAACTTCGCGTGGGATATTTGAAATAGCCACAGCCAATCCGAATATATGGCAATCATTAATACATGGAGCACTGAACGGATACCGAACGAGCTTAATACTGCTCAAGTCATAAACCTACATAAGAAACGCAACAAGAGCGTATGTATCGATTATACCAGCCAGCACCCCTTTTGATAAGGGCAGCAATTATGAAGGCAAAGCCGCAACTGAATGGCGAAGAAATATTTCCTTAGGAACAATGCGAGTTTCATAAAAGCACATCTTGTGTAGAAGCAGATAGTGCAGAAGAGGAGATAATTAAACCTGCCTACTTTCTTGCATTATGAAGGAGTTTACAATACAGTCTATTGCAACATGCTATAGCATATACTATAGAACTTATTAAATACTAATATTGCTTTAAAAAATTAGTAATATATTAACCTGCTTGCAAATTAAATTAGTAGTACTTGCAATAATTTTCGTCGCAGTTTCAATAAATTGTCGTTATTTATAACTAGGGCCTAAAAGTCGACAAGAAAGGGCGAAAGTTGTGCCAGGTATTGAAAGTTTAAAACAGGCTACCCTATATGATTTGTAACGCCTAGCGTGGAAGAATATTCCTGAATTTTTATATATTCCCATTAACGCAATGCGGACCTTAGTGGGAATGTCGTATATCTTGAAAATTGCATACGAGTTCGTACCCGATAAATGGGACGATAAACTTAATAAGATGAAAGAAGCGAGAATGCAGAACGAGTATCAGAAACAGGGGTGTGGGGAAGTACAGATTAGAGAGAAACGTTGAAAATGTACCAGGAAACAGAAGCATTAATTTCTGTGTGGTCTTCTTATCACCCATTAAAAATAAACGCAGAACACTGATTCCGCCTAGCAATTTAAAGAGGATTATTCAACCCTGTTCCTCTGAAACCCGGCAGATACAGGCTACAGCAAAATGCACTTTGCAAGCAGTAACATTACACGCCAGCAGAAAACAGAAAACGATATACAGAAACTTACCTATCTCTGTAATTTTTCCAAAGATTACTGCCTGGACATTCACATTTTAATTTGTCAGCTGCCAGTTAAACAAACCAATTCTGACATGTATCAAAAAATGTAACCACAAGATTTTGATTCGGAAAAGACCGGCTAATGCGTTTTTTTAGACGAAATAAAATTATTAAACTTATGTTTTTTACTTCTCCACGAGGTTCACATGAACCCGTCATAAGTCTCTAATCTAAATTATATACATTTAGTCCACAACCTCGAAACCTGTATCTTCAAAATCAATTGTAATATTACCCCTAATACATTAAAAATTTGTTAATACTTGCAAACGTTTCCACATTTTAAACGCAATTCCACAATATTATTTTAAAGACTGGTGCACAAGTCATAACCACAAATCTTTTGCAGACATACGTATACACTTTGCTCATATACGATCTATTGATATTTATTCCAAACATAAATCTTTCTTCCTGCCACCATACAGTTTTCTTCACTAAATTGAAGTAATTTATTTTCAGTTCATTAAATGATTACTTGTATAAGTCAAGAGAGCCATAGAAATATTCCTTAAATTCTTATTATAATTAATATTATTTAAATTATTTAAAGAACTTACCTTACTTTGCAGATGTCGCCTGATGTGATAATGCAGAATATCACTTCTCTTTCTGAAAGTAAAAAAGAAAAAGAACGGATAAGTTCACACACTTAAAAATGTGAATCACTTCTATCAAATGTCCGGTGCACACATTTATATCACAACTAAAATAAGTAACTTCTCTTTCCGGTTCTTAACTTCAAGTTAAGAAACAAGTAACACTTTTAAAGGCGTCATACAAGACATAATAATTTCCACGTGCGCTCGTTCTCGGCTGAGATTAATGAATATGGAATCGACCTTTTGCAGCGCTGGCATGTGGCTTACCATTCTGAACGTTTGAACTGAAACTTAACTATTGTACGGAGTAACTCAAAAGTCCTCTCAAGGCCACTTGCTTCGCCGTTCTTCCAGTCCGTACGGTCTTCGTCTTCGATCTACAGAGAAATCACTCTTAACAAAACACATCTTGTAGATTATTCCTTCCAGTGTAAGCTACTATAGCACGACAGATTTATAGATGGGATAGTGAGGCGTCTCCTTGACAGGAAAACAGAATTTTCCCATATTAGACAAGCAGACGCGAGACAACAACTCCAAGCACAGTCTCCTGATCGCGTAGTGATATAAAGCAAGAGAGGACGTGGTTTTTCTACATTCATAGATGATTTCCTTGTAACTACAAACCAAATCTGCTCAACAAGACAAACAACATATTCTTCGGCAGACTAAACCTACAAACTGCGTGCATATAAAAATAATATTCGATGTATTCACTACTGTTTTAACAATTTATTACGGATGTAGAGTATTTGATTTAAAAATAATAAGCCTGTCAATACCTGTATAAATAAAAGATAAATTAATCCAATCCCCACAGAAAACTAATTACATTCCACCAGTTCAAAATATTTATTTTGCTAAATGAAAGTTGTTTTCAATCAGTTATATCCGGTTTATAAAATTGTCGTTTCCCGCAGTGGAAAACGAACCTAATATTATACAACAGTCTCTCTAAATGCGATAGATATTACGTTCAGTACCAAATTAGAGCGCGCGGTCCACTGTGAGTATTAAAGATATAATTGATTTTAAAATCAAAACTGTGTAACCCAGGAACCAATACCTTTAATCTGCGTTAGTAACTGAAGAGCAGTTTCACGATAATTTTCCTTCATTCAGCTGTAACATGGCATTGCAGATAAATAAGACCTTGTTTTAAATAAATTATATTAATATTCTATGAAATGTGTAATATAATTACTTTTATGAATAGGGTGTCCGAAAATAAATCTATAAAGCCGTCTTCGATTTAGACACGTTTCTTAACACTTAGGGCACTAACAAAGATACGAAAACAGTAGCCGTAATAAAAAATGGAGTGTTACTTTGGGCATTCTGCATTTTATTTAACATTAGAAATAAGTAGAAATATGCGTTAAATGACGTCATATATTTTACTTCTGGCCCAGCCAATCATCAGAAGCATGAGGGATGGCTTATCTTGTATTTCGTTACGCACAGATCATAGGCATTAAATGGGATTCACGTGACGTATCCATTTCTGTACGATTACTTCGGTTTCAGGCCCTGTATGGACTACACAGACCTCACCTAGTAGCTTCTGACTGTGCAATTAGTCAAAAGAATGCTATAATGACAGTTCTGACTACATGCAATAATGTTATATATTATTCGTAAATATCTCTAATATAATATATTCATAAGAATATAATAATATGTATAATAAACATTACAATTTTATTTCATAATAATATTACCCATTCAGTCGTGATATTTATATAAAAGTTTGTGAATTCAAAGAAGCTTATAAAATTTACAGACTCATTCCCATTCGCTTTTATACCTTTTGTATTGCTACAAAGCTGGTTTTTACCTATAATCTTAGGCACACCGGTAATCATAGATCATTACGCTTACCAAATACTTGACAGCTGGTAACATTTAAAGAGTTCTGCGTACTATTTCGTCTGCTGCTCCGTCTCGTGTCAAAAGTACTAATAAACTTGACGAATTATTCCTCTCACCATCCATTCTCATATACCACAAGACAACACTATTCAAATCTAAATCGCAAAATATGCAAATACACAACCAAGTCACGTTACAAGCGCACGTAATGCACGCAACAGCCATTTGACTGAACGACTGGCTGGTCAATCACACTAGTCAAGTTGCCTGAATGCAAGTCGCCAGAATTCCAGGTTATGTCCACATTTACGCAAATTTTCTGAAGGCCGGTGTAAGATAAAATGGCGTCTACAAAAGTAAAGCGTGCTGAAGTGCTAGTAGCTGTTGCTGAGTGTAATATCATCTTCACTGGAAGAAGAAGAAAAAAAGATGTTTCTGTAGTAAACTTTATTACGTAAACAGCTCGGTGTATCTCGTATGTCTTGTAACACACTTATGAAACAGTTGGTCTCAGGAGAAACAAAATTCCATAAAAATCACCCAAAGATGTCAAAACTCACTAGCTGTGGCGTGTACAGATCATTAGTTCCTCGACTTCATACTTTTGTTTACTTCATAGCTGTACATGTTTTCATCATCTTAATTTGTCTTCTAACACTATCTGCACTTAACTCTAAGTTCCCCGAGTATCTGTTTCAATTCTCATATTCATTCTCACGCATTTCTATAGCGCTTTCAACGTTCACTACATTTCGTACACATTAAAAATAAGTAAATGTCGTCATAATTTCATTTATCAGTCACTTTATGAACGCTCACAATAAGAAATACTGTTAATAAAAGAAATAATAGCCTTTAAGTTTACTTCTCAACAATACAGAGGAAAAAGCACATTTTTCTGCGTGTTCCAATAAACTGGAGATTTAACTAGTAGTTCACATTCTTCAAGTTGTTATTCAACTTCAAGTCAGGTAAGAAGTCAAAATTGTTTCTACGTATCTGAAAACTTGAAACTGTTCATTCATTAGACTTAAAACGTATCTGAAACAGTTCATATTATGCAAATCATTTCAAGATTTAGTTTTCAGGCGACTTGCATTCAGGAAGCTTCACTCGTGCGAGTGAAGCTTCAGGCGATGATGACAATTCTTGCCTCTGAGCACACAGCACGTAAGCCACAAGCCATCGTTGGTACTCCCTAGTGTCTCAAGTTACAAAGGTTGGAAGAATTTTTCATGTAAGCGGCCACAGTCGCGTCGGTTGTAACTGCCAGTAGGCTCCTACCAAGGCAGAAACGAGAGCAGGACGAAAAAATATAATTCACGTTTTGTTTACATACAGGCACACAAAAAATAATCTGTAAGATTATCCGCTTTTAAGACCCTGGAAATAACATCACAGTCCGTCACCCATAACAATTACTTCTGCTACTACCATTAATGTATCAGCTGCTACTACTCGTCAAACCATTGTTGCTGCTACAATGCAAACAAACTTACTGCCAGAAGCCTAGAAGAATTGCTCTCAAAACTTAACATAAAGAAACAGACAATGCCAAGTTTCATGACTCCACTCCTAAAACACGAGACTCGTGACACTACAAAAAAAAACTGTATTAAACAAAGGCTTTGGTTACTGTGCGCGATTTCTCGGTACCCCCAAATCTGGATGACACCACCTCCATCTGCAACCCGGGGTCGTGACGTATTTGGCGACAAGGGGCCCCATTTAACATGGTACACGAACCTCAATGAATGGAAATTGTAGTCCGAACACGCGTTTCTATTTTATAGTTTTCTGCATAGAGAAATGATGATACGTCATGGAGTTTCGCGTATCTACGCTATTAAGCCTCGTAGGATCACAGGGAACATGCTGACGTTTTCACGGCTCTGTGAATTTGCGTTGTGCTTTTCGGGAGTGTTGCGGTGTGTAGTCTCCCAACGTTTCGGAAGAACCTGCTGACTCTACCTTCATGATTTAAACACACGTGTTTTATATTTAAACAATTACAAAGCTTGTCTTATAGCGCTGTTAAGTAGAAACTAAATGCCCTTCATTATCATCCGGGTACCAGAAACAAAACACCCACGAAGTTACAGACATCAGTAGCCATTAGCACATCAGTTTATTGACAACTTTCTTTGACGACGTGTTCCACGCGGTGACTAAATATTACCCTGTCTGTGTTGCTGAGTGACCATGCAACTTGTATTTCGAGACGAAGTTTAATTCAATTAAAAGTCGCTTCCATACTTGCATAGAGTATTTTTGTTGCTGTCCAAACATGCTGTGTTATCATAACGTTACTCAGAAAAAGGGTATAATGCAATAAGACTGGCTCTTAGAGTTTCGTTAAGCTTTAATTATTCTCTCCTACTGAGTGGTCTTTCAGGAGACGAAAAACCATCCTTTTTTGACTTTCTACGTCTCCGCTTTCCAAGAGAAGTTTTTGCAAGTCCGCTTCGAGCCAAACTGTAATTGTCTGTTCAGAGCAGCTAAAGAGAAACACGAAACAACGAAATTCTCAAAAGACAAGGGAGGACAAAGAACGGGGGCTGAGAACAACGATAAGGTAGGAGAGTCGAACACAAACCTTCTATTATTCTCTGTGACAAAAAAAATACTGTCCTCTCCTCTGTAACAGGAAATTTTATTCTCCATTATAAAAGACAAACAAAAAGTTTAGAAGCCACTCCGTGTATTCAAACATGCATTTATCTACGTTATAGAAACAGGCCGCTTACACTTGTAACATCCATCATAATTTCCAAACTTCTTGCCTGTCATGTTATCGTTAACGAAAATTCTGCTACATCGCAAAGTTGGAATTGTCCGCTTCACAACGTCTGCGGTCTCCAAGACAAAAACGAACAGATTAAAACAACGTTGACCCACACTTGAATGCAAACAGCTAGCCGAGTGAAACCGGAAGACAGATGCATGGTTTAGTGCGCCTAAGATTATGCTTCCAGCCCCTTTGATATACATAAACACACAATAAAAATGCTCATGATTTATGACCGGAAGCATTCATGGCGACTAAGTCCTGATGACGAGGACGAAGATGGTTTTCGAAAGTTGGTGTTTTCTTCAATAAACCACCTTACACGGCTGGTGGCCCGAGAAGAATTCATT